CCTACAACTTAATAAAATGTAAATATTTAATCCTAAGTAGATATAATTGCTTGGTATATCATAACGTGAAAACTATTACTTAAAATGCTACCTATGATCAGAATCAAAATTTTTGGTTAGTTGAGAAGTTATAGTGCTTAAAAGTCGTGTTACTTAGTGTTGCCATGGTATTGTGTGCTTTTTCCCAGGCCTTTATGCTAAAAGTATGGAAGATGTTGATGTCAAGAAATTGATAACTGCGATTGGATCGGCCCCTGCGCCTGGTGGTGGTGGACCAGTAGGCGGTGGCGCTCCTGATGCCAAGGCCGATGGTGCTGCGCCCGCAGATGCAGGTTAGTGCAGCAGTAATTTCGGAACTAATATAAGGTACCCGCAGGTGCTGAGATATTAGTTCTGAAACATATCTGCTCTTTGAAATTGTTTGCGGCTGACCTGTGATGATATGTGGCATGCACCACGCAGAATGTTCTGTTGAAAAACAACCCAACATACACCTACCTTTGTCTGAGGTCAGACCGAGGCAATTTGTTATGGCTGAGATATTTTTTGTTGCTATTTAGTATTTCATTTAGATTATGGTCATATCACCATTTGTTTTCTTGTGGGCGCCTAACAATTAAACTGGTGTATTGTGGTAATTTTTTTAGTGTTTATTATCTGGAAAATTATTTTTTTGTCTGCAGAGAAGAAACCAGAGAAGGTTGAGTCTGAAGAGTCGGATGATGATATGGGATTCGGTAAGTTACTTGAAATCAGGTAATCGTGGATCAATTGTTTGTCAGAATAATGTGTAGTCATAAGATATACCATCACAATGACTTGGTTTATGTAGATTGCTGTTTTAAAAATTAAAAAATTAAAATTAAGGTGTAATGTTTTACTGTGTTGTTCACATTGGTTTTGGTATGTTATTTGCAGGTCTGTTTGACTAAGACGCAAGCCTAATAGTTTGGAAAGCAACATTGTCACTACAGAACTTGGTGTATTGCTGTAAATAGTAATAAGTGGCTGTCAAAATAACATTCGAATCTGTAACCAAAGTCATAGTTGTTGTTGTTTGATATTTTTCCAATTTCATAATTATCTTGACTCCTACCTGTCACTACCTCGAATGTCAATGATAGTTATCTTCCATAAATGCACAGAATGGTTTCCCTAAAATAAATGCCTTGAATTTAATTGGTGAATCATGGGCAGATTAATAGCACATGCCATACCAATGTTACAATGCAAAATCTAATTAATGTCCAACTGCTTGTCATCATAGAGCAAAGCAGCCCCGAATGAGGTCAAACCTCTTGACTACAAGCACGATTTGTGCATAGTTTAAGAACTAGTGAATAATTTCAAACATTGGAGAAATTTTGCAGCAAAAGCAAAGGTAAGTAAACCATTTATTAGTGTAGGACTTTGTCATCGTTTTTTTTGTAGAAGTTTGCATTGTAAAGAAATACAGGTGTAGGTGGTACATAGATATCAGTGGTTAGATGCTTCCGTCGAAGGTATTGCCTACAGTCTATTCATATTTGAATTAACCCTTTTGATCTTTTGAATGGTGAGAGGTGCTATAACATAGGATGTCTCTGCTATTCAGGAAAAGGTAAAGGGGTCTAGTTGGTAAAAGTCCGATCCGTGTTTGATGCCGAGAATCGCATTTTTCTAGATAAAGTTCAAATGTTGTGCCACTGTTTATTATAGCTCAAGATACAGGAGTAGGCTGGAGGAATGCGAACCAAGTTGGCAGAGTATCTGCAATATGATATCGTTGCGATTGTGTGTGTGCAAAAAAAGGCTGGCTGGGAAGGCATATCTGATTAAGCTTGGTGAGTACTGCATGTAATGGCAAAAGGTCTTGTTGTTGTGGATGGCACTTAGAAGCGGCTGTTTTCAATCAAATCACACACAAGTTGGCTTAGCGAGTTTTCATTTTGTTTATATCTTGGATATTCTGAGCTGTGATGAGGAACTTACCGCCCCAGTCTGATGCAGTTGTGTCTGCCGTGACTGACTGGTTACTCTGAGCGTATGTCACAAGTTGCTGTAATGGTCATTGATCAATGAATGTGGCTGCATTGATAGCATGTGTTGATAATGCTAAATCTTGTTTAATTGTAGGATGGATCTATCTGCAGTGACTACTGGTGCTGGGGAATTGCTTGAAGACGAGAAATGGCCATTTATGATAAAGAAACAAAATATGAGAATTCCAAGATGAGGCAGTTAGGAAGGTAATTGTAGTATGCATGACGCATCTGAATGCAATCTTTCTGTAATGAATTTTAGTGAGTTTATTTGTGTAACCTTTTACTTAGTGTGAGCCATGATGAGGAACTTACCGCCCCAGTCTGATGCAGTTGTGTCTGCCGTGACTGACTGGTTACTCTGAGCGTCTGTCACAAGTTGCTGTAATGGTCATTGATCAGTGAATGAGGCTGCATTGATAGCATGTGTTGATAATGCTTAATCTTGTTTAATTGTAGGATGGACTTGTGCTTAGTAACTATGGATGGTGTGGAATTGTCTGAAAATGAGTTAGTCATGGATGATACCGAAACAAAATTCCTAGGTAAGGCAGATGGAATGATTATTGTAGCATGCATGATGCATTTGAATGCAATATTTGTCTAAAGTGTATTTTAGTGAGTGATATATATATATATATACATGGCTGCAGTCATTAGCTCTGGTTTATCATTCGCCTGTTGTGAGCCGTGATGAGGAACTTGTCGCCCCAATCTGATGCAGTTGTGTCTGCCATGACTGACTGGTTACTCTGAGCCTTTGTCATATAATGTCTGAGCTTTCCATATAATCAGGGTTAGACACTAACCATTTTAGTTCACTAGTCCACAGGACTAGTAAAAGAAAAAATGTACTAGTCCTTCCAAGATTCTACTAGTCCTGCCGAAGGACTCTTACTAGGCGCAAAGCGACGAGCATTGTGATTTGCGGGGAGGTAGGTGGGGTAGGAGGGTGGAGCCCCCCTTCTGCTAGGGGGTACAGGGGGTCTCTCCCAGGGTACAAGGGGTTACATCTACCTGTTTTTCCCGTAGATCTTTATTTCGATTT